ACTCCCCGTTCGCCTCCTCCTCAGTTCCCAGAAACCACCATTCTGCTTTCGCTTGGCTGCTCTCCATAGGTCAGATACAGGACAGGCCGTTTACTCATGGTGTGCTTATTCCTGCTAGGTTAAGCTGAAATCTTTTTATCATCTCTCGTGTTGTTGTGTTGTCTTGGTTTGTGCCATAGGGTTGTATGCACTCACTGGAGAGAGACAGGCAGAGGGAAAGTGAGAAATCAGCCTCCCAGGGAGAATGGCCATGCCCCAACCTCTTCTCCATTACCCTCTCTGGATTTGGGGCATGCACGTACACATGTCTGGGATGTTTTTCAAGCCGCTGAGTCCGGGACTTGAATCTCATAGTCAACCATGAGGGATCTAGCACCTTAACCACCATGCCACCTGGCTGACCCCAGTAGTTTATCTTTGAAAGAGATAAAACAGGTTTTTTTTAAAATTTTTAATTTTATTTCATTTATTTTAATTTGATTAAGAGAGACACAGAGAAAGTGAGAAAGCAAGCCACCAGGTCTAGGACTTGAACCGTGGTTGGCCATGTAGGAGTGTCCAGCACCTTAACCACTACACCATCTGTTGGTTCCCTAGACAGGTTTTTTTTTTTTAATCAAATGTATTTACTCGTGTATTTACCTTCATTCCTTTTGATAGGTCATGGTTCCCTTTGGTGTCATCTTCCTTCTATCTGAAAGACCGTCTTTAACATTTCTTATAGTGTAGTTCTACAGGTGATGAATTACTTTAACTTCTGCCTGAGAATTCTTTGTTATATTTTTATTTTTGAAGATATTTTTGCTGGGTATAGGATTTTGATTGACAGGGGTTTTGTCTTTCCTGTCAGCACTTAAAATATCTCATTGCACTGTCTCTCCTTGCACTGTTTTCAGTAAGAAATCTGTTGCTGGCTTTTCTTTTTGTTTCTGGAGAGGTTTTTGCTAGAGGACATATATGCTTGCCAGAAAGACAGAGAGAGAGACAGAGAGACAGAAAGCAAGAAATCACTCCCCAGGGGGGATGTCCATACCACAATCCCTTCTCTTCCATTATCCTCTCGGGATTTTGGGCACGCACGCACACACGCCTGGCATGAGTTTAAGCCACCAGGTCCAGGACTTGAACTGTGGTCAACTGCATGGGAGTCCAGCGATGAAGCCATTAAGCCAACTGCTGGTCCCTGTTGCTAGCTTTGTATTTGTTCTTCTCAAACTTTCTTTATCACATATATTGAGCAATTTTATTATATGTGCATTGGTGTAGTTTTCCTCAAGTTTCTTGCTCTTGAGGTTCATTGAACTTCTTGGATCTGTGGGTTTATAGTTTTCATCACATTTAGAAAAATATTGACCTATATGTCCTCAAATAATTTCTGTACTCTCCTTCCTTTTCAGGGACTCTGGTTATGTGCATATTAGACTGTTTACATTGTCCCATAGCTCACCGATGCTCTTTTTATTGCTTAAATCTCTTCCTTGTGTGCTTAATTTTGAATCCTTTCTATCATTATGTCTTCCTGCCCACTAAAAATTTTCTTCTGTAGGACCAGCAGTTAGTGTAATGGCTATGTCGCTGGACTCCCATGTGGTCAACCGTGGTTCAAGTCCCAGACCTGGTGACTTAAACTCACGTCGGGCGCATGTGCATGCATGCCCAAGATCCCGAGAGGAGAATGGAGGAGAAGGGATTGTGGCGTGGCCATCCCCCCTTTAATTCTGGCTTTCTGTCTCTCTGTCTCTCTCTTTTTGGCGAGCACATACGCCCTATAGCAAAAACTTCTCAAAAAATTTTTTCTTTTCCTCTGCAATGTCTAATCTACTATTAATCTTAGCCAGAGTAATTTTCATCTTATTTATTGTAGTGTTCCTCTTACTCGTTATAGTTTCTCTCTCTACACATTCAGTTTGCATCTTTTTTATATTATGCATTTTTTTAACATATGGGATATGGTTATAATCCCTGGGGATTTTGTTTGTTTTTGAGAAATTTTTGCTGTAGGATACATGCTTGCCAGAGAGACAGAGACACAGAAAACAAGAAGTCACCCCTCAGGGGGGATGGCCATACCACAATCCCTTCTCCACCATTCTCCTCTTGGGATCTTGGGTGTGCACGCATATGCTCTTGGCATGAGTTTTAAGTTGTTGGGTCCAAGACTTGAACTGCGGTCAACTATGTGAGAGTCCAGTAGAGTAACTATTACGCCATCTGCCGGTCCCTATATTATCTGTTTTAACATCCTTGTCTGCTAGGTCTAACATTTTTGTCAGTTCTGGGCCAATTTTTATTGATTTCTCTCCTCATTATGGGTCATGATTTGCGCGTCTGGTAATCAATCTTTGATGCCTGTGTCATGACTTCTACCTTGTTAGGTATGAGGTATTTTGGTATTTCTATAAATATTTTATAGCTTCGTTATGGGATTCAGTTTGCTTCCTTGGAAACAGTTTGATTCTACTGGTCTTACTTTTTAGAGTTATTAGGGGGGAAAAAAAAGTTATAAACTGGGACCAGAGCTGAGTTAGCTGAGTTTAGTGTAGGACTAATTATTCTCTCTTACCAAGGCAGTATTCGACCCGATGCTTCATGAACTATGAAGTTTTTCAGTCTGGCTGGTAGGAACAGACAGTGTTTCTAGCTCTGTGGAAACATTGGCACTGTCATCTAATCCTCTTAGATGGTTCTTTCCCCAAAGAAAGCAGTAGTTTCCTTACACTCTCGGTTCAGTCAGGCCAGATACTTGAGGGAGGGCCCTCTGTACATCTCCAGGCCTCTGTACAGTTCTCTCCTGGCCAATACTCCATCCTGCGAATTCTAGCCACCTTGGTCTCCTCAGACTTTCAGCTCGGTGTCCTCAGCTCAGAGAACTTGCCAAGTTCTGTTTTTCTCGTCCTGTGCCACAGCCTGGAAGCCCTCATCGAGCATGTGGCAGGGACAGTTGTAGGGCTTCCTCAGATAGCTTTCTCATCTCTCAGTAACTGTCCTTCAGCGCCCAAAGCGGTCTAGGGAGCCATCTTTCCTCCCTTCCCCTCCTATCCCTTCCTTTCCTCTCTTTCTCTTTCTCCCTCCTCTCTCTCTTTTTCTTTCATTCTTTCACTTCAGGCAGGAGATTAAATTCAGCCCCTATTGCTCCATCTTAGCGGGAAGCAAGCGTCCTTCTTTCTCTCAAGATTTATTCGTATGCTTTGTAGCAACTGGAAGAGTCCCGGCCACAAGGTTGGTTCATCCTCTGAATGCTTCTTGAAATCATTCCTCTTTAGAAGTGGTGATAGCCAAGCAGAAGTTTGTTTAGAAATTCAATGGTAGGTAATTGAGGTTTTTAAAAAGTTCACTAACCAATTATTGTAATTCTTACTCAAACGAATACCAAATTTATTTGCAAAACTTTTTGGAACCACATTTAACATTTTGTTGATGACATGCTATATGGAAATGTTTTTTGAAATGCTTGCTTTATGTGGACCTGTCTTTAGTTTTTTTGTTGTGTTTGTTTGTTTTCAAACTTTGCCAGAGGGTGTGTGCCCTCGCCAGAGACAGAGAGAGCGAAAGTGAGAAAGCACCTCCCGCAGGAAATGGTCACACCACAATCCCGTCTTCATTTCTCCCTCCTTTTAGAATTTTAGGCACACATGCACACGTCACAGGCATGTTTCTGGATTTAATATCCTGCGTGAAATGAAAGAATGAAAGCAAAAGAGAGAGAGAGAGAGTCCCAGGTCCTGGCCTCGAACCATGCCACCCGCCATGTGGGATCCAGCTGCCTTAACCACCATGCCACAGACTGGTGATTTAGTTTTTATTTTAAATTATTTTATAACTTTTAGAAAATGACAAATATGGGACTAGCACATCCATAGCAGATGCTTATTGTCACTACCAGAGTTTTCCCCAAATGTCTAGCACACAGTGAGCATTCTCGTACATATTTAAAGAATCATTGAATACAATACTTCTTTTTGGGTAGAATATTTTTCTCCTTTCATCCTTTACCCAATATCACTTTCATCCAATAGATCCACCTTTCCATTTCCTAAACGGATACTCTATTGTATTTATTTATTTATTTATTTATTTTTAGGACAGATTGATAGAGACAGAGAGGGAAAGTGAGAAACCACCCCCAGGGGATGGCCATGCTGCAATCCCATCTCCTCCATTTTCCTCTTGAGATTGTGGGTAGGCTTGCACACACGGCTGGTGTGATTTTCAGGCTGCCAAGTTCGGGGCTGGAATCGTGCTTGGCCATGTGGGAATCCCGCGCCTTAATCACCGTGCCACCCGCTGGCCCTTCGGCTCCTTCTGATAGACCCATGCCTTCTCTGGTCTCTTCACCATGTGCTCTGTCGGCCCTCGTCTTGTAACATTGTTTTGTCAGATAAAGTTAATACACACCCATATTTTATTCTTTCTTTCCTTTTTTAAAATTTTGCTAGAAGGTGTGTGCGCTCACTGGAGACACAGAGAGAGGTAAGAAATCCCTGCCCAGGGAGGATGGCCATGTTTCAATCCTCCTTTCATCTCCTCTAGGGATCTTGGACACCTGGCATGGTTTTCAAGCCATTGAGTCCAGGCCTTGAACCACATAGTCGGCCATGTGGGATCCAGCTGCCTTCACTATACACCCAGAGGGCCCCGCATTTCTTTTTCTTTTCTTGTCTTTTTTTAGAGAGGTTTTTGCTATAGGGCGCGTGCGCTCGCCAGCCAGCCAGAGAGAGACAGAGAGACAGAAAGCGAGAAATCACCCCCCAGAGGGGATGGCCAAGTCGCAATCCCTTCTCCTCCATTCTCCTCTCGGGATCTTGGGCACACACGCACACGCGCCCGGCGTGAGTTTAAGCCACCAGGTCCGGGACTCGAACCGTGGTTGACTACATGGGAGTCCAGTGACATAGCCATTACGCTAACTGCTGGTCCCTCTTTTCTTGTCTTTTTTTTACCATGAATCAAATTTCCCGAAAGGAGAATTTTATTGATGACTTTATTCCCTCACAAATAGACCAACCGTCATCAAATGAGGTGGACGTTCCCCTCAAGGTTTTGTCGTCTTCGTGATAGAGAAGATGAGGCGTAGACCTGGCTCCCTTGGCCCTTGCTCTCCTCACCCCCTCCCAGTTCAGAGTGCGTGGACCTCTTCCTAGCCAGCGTCCTCTCCGAGCTGCAGCTGGGCTCCGCACACTCAAGCCTCAGCGCGATCTTCTTTGTACTTTTTGCCTTTTTCCGGAAAATAGGCTTCGTCTGTCCACCACAGCTGCTCTGCTTCCTGTCGTAACGCCGCCGTCCCTGAGCACACAGAGCATCCTTGCTTTTTAGTACTGCATCAATTTTTTTTTTTTTGGAGAGGTTTTCACTATAGGGCGTGCACGCTCACCAGACAGAGAGAGACATAGAGACAGAAAGCGAGAAATCACCCCCCAGGGGGGATGGTCACGCCGCAATCCCCTCTCCTCCATTCTCCTCTCGGGATCTTGGACACGCATGCACACGCGCCTGGCGTGAGTTCTAAGCCACCGGGTCCGGGACGTGAATCGTGGTTGACTACGTAGGAGTCCAGAGACATAGCCATTACGCTAACTGCTGGTTCCCAAGTACTGCATCACTTTAGGAGGTGGGTGCTTGCCACACTTCTTACAGAAGGTCCTGCAGGTGTTAGGGACGTTCACCATGTTCATGGGTGTGCTATCTGCACAGAAAGGGAGAGGCCAGCCGGAAGCCTGGCTCCACGTTTCATTCTTGACAAGAGAGGCTGATGTTCTGATTTAGAAATCCTTTTTATTTATTTATTTTTTTTAGATTTTTGCTATAGGGTACATGTGCTTGCCGGAGAGATGGAGAGAGATAGAAAGTGTGGCATGCTTCAATCACTTCTCCTCTATTCTCCTGTCAGAACTTTGGGCACACACGCACACGTACCCAGAGTAAGTTTCAAGCCGCTGGGTCTGGGACTCGAACTGCAGTCAACCATGTAGGAGTCCAGTGCCTTAACCACTACACCACCTGCTGGTCCCCTTTTGAAATAATTATTTATTTATTTTTATTTATCTTCACCACTGTTTTTTTTCAGTTTGCTGTAGGGCACATGCACTCACCAGAGAGAGTCAGAAAGAGAAATTTAGAAAGCAAGCCACCAGGTCTGGGGCTTGAACCATGGTTAGTCATAATCCAACACCTTAACTGCCGTGCCACCGGCTGGCCCCTGATTTAGAAATCTTAATTGGAGAAATGTGGCTTATACTATGGGAAGCATCGGACTTGCAGGACACTTGGAATCTAGCTCAATCCTGCGGACTCTTAGGGCTGGAGCGCCTCTTCTCAAGCTCCGTGCCCTTCTCTGAAGCCTCGTTCCCAGCCAAGTTCTCCACATGCTTTAAGCACAACTTAAGCCCTTCCTTCCTCTGTGAAGTCTTCCCGCCAGAGATCTTGCCCTTCTGCCTGCTCCTTAGAATTTAATTGTCTTTTCCACTCACTTGGTACCTAATTGACCGTACTGCCTTGTCATAGCCTTTGGGTTTATGTGGGAGCGGCTGTCCCAGCCAGCTTGTAACCACCTTCGGAAGGGAGACCCACATGTCCTCACAGCCACAATCACGACGGCGACTACCAGCGTCTACGCAGTACTTCCTGTGTGCCAGGCCCTGTTCTTAGGCCGTATACCGACTGACTTTGATCAGTCCACGCCCCTACTCTAAGGGGGCAGTACTGTTACCATCCCACTTTCCAGAGAAGGAAACAGGCCCAGGCGAGCCGGGTCACTTGCCCAGGGTAGCTAGCGGAGCCAAGATTCACACTCAAGCGTTATTGCTCCAAAGCCTCGCCCTCTACTACCACCCTCTGCCACGGCGCTGGAGGGACAGTGGTCGCTGCAAACATCTTTTTTTAAAGAATTATTTATTTATTTGTTTATTTAATTCCACTTGTTATTATTACTTTTTTTTCGAAGAGGTTTTCGCTATAGGGCGCGTGCGCTCGCCAGACAGAGACAGAGAGACAGAAAGCGAGAAATCACCCCTTCTCCTCCATTCTCCTTTGGGATCTTGGGCATGCATACACACGCACCGGGTGTAAGTTTTTTTTTTTTTGAGAGATTTTCACTGTAGGGCGCGTGCGCTTGCCAGACAGACAGAGAGAGACATAGAGACAGAAAGCGAGAAATCACCCCCCAGGGGGGATGGTCACGCCGCAATCCCTTCTCCTCCATTCTCCTCTCGGGATCTTGGGCACGCACGCGCACACACGCCCGGCGTGAGTTTTAAGCCACCGGATCCGGGACGCGAACCGCGGTCGACTACGTGGGAGTCCACCGACATAGCCATTACGCTAACTGCTGGTTCCCAGCTGGTGTAAGTTTTAAGCCACCGGGTCCGGGACGTGAACCGTGGTCGACTACGTGGGAGTCCAGCGACATAACCATTATGCTAACTGCTGGTCCCGTTATTATTACTTTTTAATTTGGCCAGAAACAGAGAGGGAGAGAAAGGGAAAGTGAGAAGCATGTCACCAGATCCTAGACTCGAACCGTGGTCGACCGTGTGGGAATCCAGTGCCCTCAACCACCACCTGCTGGCCCCGCCCCATACGTCTTTATTGATTGAATAAGAACATGGCGGCTTGGCCTGGGCAGGAGAGGAGTGCCCAGCAGAGGCCCCGTTCTGTTGCTCTCCCAGGTTTGCAGTTTCCCATCACGATCTGTACGTCATTGTTGTTTTTCTCAGGAGCCAAATGCTGTGTGGTCTAGGAGGAGGAAGAGAGGAGCATCGACGTACAGATGCCTCCACCCCTCTCCTGCTCGCCTCCCTTGCGGGGAGCAAGTTGGAGCAGTTCTTCCTGCCACCCCTTTGCTCTCAGAGCCAGGCAGCAAACGGGCAGGAGAAGCAGAAGGGGAGGCGAGGGGGTAGCAACATCCTCGGGGTCACTGGCTTCGGGGGGCCCTCATCTCCTTAGGCTCAGTCAACCGGATGTTCCTTTAGCTCGCTGGAATTTGGCCGGCTTCACAGAGATAAGATCAATCTGACCCTTAATTCCCCAAACGTAATTTATGGGCTTGCCTTCTGTGTGCCGAAACACGTCTGCCTATCCAAAATCTGGTAATTATTTATGTAAACACGGCATCCTGCCTTTGTGGATTATAATTGGACTTGAACAGCAAGAAGCAGCGACTCACGCAGTTGGGCTGGCCCTGAAACCTTCCTTTTGAAAACACTCACCTGAGTCTTTGAAATCTTCTCTGTGTTCATGGATAGCTTTAGCCAGAACAACAACAACAAAAATTTTTTCTCTTTTTTTTTATGCCTGCTCTTCCAGCAGGCCTGTGCAAATATATCCCCCCCCCGCCCCCCGCCAGGTTTTGTAGGCCCTCTCAGAGGATGGGATAAAGATGCTCCAACCATCTTGTCTGGACCCAAACTGAGAAGACACGAGACCAGGGTGGAGGCCCCCATGGATCTCCTCATCGTCTGCTGGAACAAGAATTTTATACCCCTACTAAGAATAAACAGGATTAGGAATTTAATGGTGTTTGGAAAAGAGGAGAGGTGGCTGGCGCGAGAGAAAGGTCTTTGCTTTTTATTCACGCGGTGAGCGCCCCAGGAACCTTCGCTGTCCATGTCCACAGAGCCAGGAGGATTAGGGGAGAGAAAATGAGCTGATTGAACCAGATGGTTCGGGAAGCACTCCCAGGAGGCCACTGGGCTGGATGCATCTGCATCTTTAAATAACATTAATTTCTGAAAGGCTCGAATTGTTTCCTAAATTACTGCACGGAGCGCTTAGCTTTCATCTATTTTTATTGGCCTTTTCCTGGTTGAAGGCAGGCTTTGCTGCTCTCTGACAACCAGCTCTGGAGACATTTCTCATTCTCGGGGTAGCTGCTGAGGAATCCGTTTCCTGATGGAGGAAAAAAAAAAAAAAAACAACTAACTAACAAACAAAACCTTTGAATGGATTTCGGCAGAAACAACCACCCCCGGGTGATCTGAGGGAACGTCCCAGTCCGATGCCAGCTGAGATGCTCATTTCCTCAGGAGCCGGGGGCATAACACTTAACCTCAGTTTCCCCATCTGTAAAATGGGGTTAATAACATGTACCTGCCGCAGGACCGCTGTGAGGTTTTAATTGGGTGATGGTTGTGGAACCCTTTGATGTAGTAAGTTTTATTAACTTGCAAGGGATCCCCTGAGGCCAGAAAAAGCAGTTAAACCCAGGAGAGAAGAAAGCAAGCAAAGCTCAGCCAAGCATGTCACCTCCGGCTCTGATTTCAGGGTGCAGAGTCTGGCTGCTCCAGGATGAGAGGAGCTGGGGGCACTTGAATGGCATTTAGGCAGGGATGACGTGGACACCGTCTCAGAAGGAGCTTGGCTTTCAGATTGTGGAGGGCAAAGGTAAACACATACCCTTTCTCGGTTCTTTTCTAAGAGCAAGTCTCTAGCAAGAGAATTATTTGGGGGTTAATCCAAGGTCCTTGGAATTGAATTTAGAAACCCCCAGCCTCTGGCCTCCTGCTTTCCAACAATTAAATAGAGAACGTGAGTTCTGGCTTTTACCAGGGTTCCTGACCAGAGAAAGGTTGGGAGGACGGCAGCAGCGAAAGGTCAGAACGCTGGGGCTTTTTCCGAGCTCCGTCACTCGAGGCGGGGCAGGATGACCTAGATGGCTCTGCAGGCTCTAGGACTCAGTTTCTACCCCACAAACATGATTTTAACCAGAACTCCCTGCCTTCCAGGCCCAAATAAGATTTGGAATGTGCAAGTGCATTAAAATTATAAAGCACTCTCAAGTGTTAGCTATTCTAGTTCAGAAAACAAACAAACATAAAAACAAACAAACATAAAAACAAACAAAACACTTGGGACCAGCAGATGGCATAATGGTTACATCACCGGAGGCCCTCATAGTTGCCTGTGGTTCAAGTCCTGGCCCCGATGCTTGTAACTCACACTAGGTGCGTGTGCATGCCTAAAATCCCAAGAGGAGAAAGGAGGAGAAGGAATTGCAGTGTGGCCATCCCCCCTGGGGGGGTGATTTCTTGCTTTCTGTCTCTCTCTGTCTCTGTGGCAAGAATATGCACCCTACAGTAAAAAAAAAATTTTTTTCCTTCAGTAACTTTAAAAAAAGTTATGGAAATTGTACTCAAAGTTAACTCTCTCAACATAAGAAATGCCTTCCTCTTCTATCCATTTCCATTCTTCCCCCATGTTGAATGCCAAGGTTATTGGGCATTGACCATGAGGACACAGATCAGAGGGATGATGGCTTGGCCCCATGTGTCTGGGACTGCCATGGTGCGTGGAAATCTCCTGTACCAGGCACCCCTCCAGTTCTAGGCTAACCCACCAGGTCCTGGGGCTGGCTGGAAAGCCCTGGTTCCCAGTTCCTGAAGCAGCTATTGACTCATCAGATCATATCCTGGAAAAGGAGGCCCCAGGGCATGGCCGGGGAGAGGGCCTTGACCCAGGCGCTCACTCCTGGATCCCCCATTCTCAGCTGGCCTCGGAGCACTCTTGTGGCCTCAGTTCCCTCACCTAAAATGGGAGAAGGTTCCTTCAGGAGAAATGACTACAACACATGCCCAACAGCTTGCCCAGCCCGAGAGGTGGTGCCGCGTGGTCGCGCAGAGAGGCAAACCACGCAGCGTGGGCGCACCTGGGGCACAAAGCCCGTCTCTCCTTG